CACCATTCGATAGAGAATTAAATTGTGCATCCAGCACAACCAACTAGAAAGCCAGCACAGATACACAGGCGAATGTCAGCAAGAAAAACTGGAATCCGCTGCTAACTTTCCCTACGTCGATGAAAAAGAAAAAAATTTTTTTGAAATATTATTTTTCCTCCATGCAGGAAGATTTGAAAAAAGAATTGTTTGCATCTTTGTTGAAAGTATTTTATTAGGCTTCAATAAACTGGAAGCATCGTTTCTCTGTACATAGAAATCCCCAAAATATTGGATATGCTGGGTATTTTGATCATATTTCTTATGAATTTTTATTTCCTTAAACTTTTTATTTAGCGTCACGAGATATAATCTTTTTATGAAATAACGGATGAAAGCCTGAGTCTTCGCCCTGTCTATATGCACCCTCAAGACTGCTTCTGCTATCCTTATTAATAAAATCCGCTACACAAATAGATAAATCTCGAGCTATGAATGTGGGTGTTTGTTCTATTGAGATATCAGCAAGAAGAAGGATACAATCACACCTACACACACCCATACCCTTCGAATCGGATTTCCTAAATATGTAGCAAAATTGTTTGATATTGTACCGAATGAAATCGTTTTTATCATAGAACAAGTGAAGATATCATCAACTGCTGATATTTTGATTCTAAAATGATCTTTAATATCCGTGTGAAAATGTACTACGTGGTAGTCTATATGCAAAACCTTATTTTATCATTGCTTCACCTGAAAAAGTCAAGGAAAAACTCACATTTCGTCCTCAACAACCAACAAACCAAAACGATTTTTACTTCTCTAGATTTCCGAATTTTTCGGAAAGTACATGATATACTCTCAATTCTTTTATTTATAAAACAGTCAACTTAAGGTTATGAATAAACATCTTCATCTACATCTGTAGTTTTCTAACCAAACTCCTTCAATGAAGAACAGTTAATTAAAGGACCATAGAGTCAAATATAGAAAAATATTTACTGTGAAAAACCAATTTTTTTATTGGATTTTACGAGGGAACATTCCCAGATGTTGGAGCGATTTTTAGTCGGGACTTTGCGCATCTTGTAGGCCTTGATGAATTATGTCTACCGTACAAAAAGTTCGTGCCCCTAGCTTGTTCCTAATGAGATATCGAGGTTTTGGTGAATTTTTCCTATAAGACCCCACATTTGCAGCAAGGCCATATTTTTGAATTTTGATCTGAAACTTTGCCCACATAAACATCTCAGCTCGACTAGTTTGCATAAAAAATTTCAGAACGTTTGGACAAAGTCTCTCCGAGATATGAAGCTTTCAACGTATAAGCCGTTTTCCATAGATAGCGTATAAAGCATGCATTTTTTGAAAGCTACATATCTCGGAGAGACTTTGTCCAAAAGTTCTGAAATTTTTTATGCAAACTAGTCTAGCTGAGATGTTTATGTGGGCAAAGTTTCAGATCAAAATTCAAAAATATGGCCTTGCTGCAAACGTGGGGTCTTATAGGAAAAATTCACTAAAACCTCGATATCTCACTAGGAACAAGCTAGGGGCACGAACTTTTTTTACGGTAGACATAATTCATCAAGGCCTACAAGATGCGCAAAGTC